ATTTATTTGGGAAATAAGTTGGAGACTGGGAGAGACAAAGAATATCTCACAATACAAGTTCAGGTTTAGTCTAGCAGTTCCAAACCAGATTAACATCAAAGCACAATTCCTTAATTAGTGGAAGTCCTAGTTTCAGTTTACAACACAAATTCAAGAAGCTTGGTTTCCTCAATTGTCCAGTAAGGTTTGCCTCAGAGTAGTTATAAGTCACTTTCTCTTTAGGCATTCAACAAGAACAACAAAACCTTTAACTGTGGCTTTTATCTCAGGGCTCCTCTGGTTACACCTTGCCTCACTTTCTCCACAGCAATTCCACGGTCTCTCCAACAGTATCACCAGGGTCTTGTTCTACTCTCATTCTCACCAGCATCTTGAGTTTCCCTACAGTCTTGATGCCCAGTATGGGAAGCATTCTTTCTCTATCTCTTATTCTAGTCCCACTGCTGTTGATGATTTGAAAGACCACGTGTCTACAGTTAAGATACCTGGAGATTAGAGGGAGCTAAGGTAAAATGTAGGGGGGGGGAAGCCAGTTTTATGCTAACATTACACTTGGCTTATATAGGGGGAAAAAGTGCTTTTCAATGATAGCAATTCCTAGTACATTCTTTCTTATAGATATCTGAAAAGTGGTGTGGATAGTGTTAATCACAACCTGTTCGTTTCTGTATAGGGAGAGTTTTTATTTAATGTAAAGTGGCAACTTCATAGAAAAGTGAAAAACTCCCTTGAAACTTGATGGTGTCCATTTTCACATGAGGATTTCTTCCCTTCACCTTGTTACTTAACCCTTTTGTGAAACTGGTTTAGGAAGCCTGTATAAATAAAACTATTTTGCCATATTCAGTATTTTTTTTTTTATTTTATACTAGTTTACTTACAAAATTTGTAGACATTGTTTTTCACACCAGATTTTTCCTCTTTCCTTTCTCACTGATAAGGGTATTTTCATTACGAACCTCAGAAATGAAGAAGACATTTCTAAGTAAGACAGTTATGAGGACTTTTGTTTTTATGAAAATTCAAATAAAAGATGGTAGAATTTGTAAGACTAGTTTTGAAAGGATAAAAATACACCTTAGTGGCAAATGTTGATGACTGGCTGAAACATGGATAGAATTTTGAATTTTCTTTACAGATTGTATTTTTAAAATATTTTGGGTTATTTTCTTTTTTTTACCACAGGGTTTAGAATCAAATTAACAGATAGGTGGAGACTTTAATAGTAGCCATCTGTCTGGGATTGTTTTGGTTTGGTTTTGTTGGCAAGAAGGAAGATGGATTAGATTCTTTTTGAAAGACTTTTAAAAATATTTCATTTAGGAGAATGCTGCAGTTATGATAGGAAGATGAAAATGCAAACAGGTAATCTTACAGTGTTCGTGAAGTATTTAGGCCTGCATATGAAGAATGGAGAAAGCATGTAGCCAGTGAAACCTGCATACGAGCATAAAAAGTTGAGTTGAAATAAAAAAAATGTTTGGATTTAAAAACAAAAAGAGGGGTTCGACAGAAATTGTGTTAATAATAAAAAATGAGAATGTGAAATGTTGTGATAATATTAAAAGCATAGGTAATCAGTTTTTGAATGTCTGTATTAAAAGGGGCACATTTCAGCAACGTTTTAATGTAAAAATGAAATTGTACATTTCTCTTAGGTCTAAATATTGTGTGACAAGACAGTAGACAGGCAGAAATTACATTGATGTAATGAATTGGGGAGGAAAATGAGTTACTAATACTGAGTAATTGAACAGAGTTAGAACCAAAGGGTCTGGGAAAAAGCGGAAATAAATAAAGAACAAAGAGTGCCCCTGGTAAAAGCCCAAATAAGTCACAGAGAAATCTCTGTATGTTTCATATCTTTGAAGAAAGAATTCCAAATGTCAAACACATCTGATATATATTGTGCTTAATACTGAGTAACAAATGTCTAACTGAAAAAGGGCTATAAACACATCCCTGTAACTAGTGCTGTTCTTTGAAACTGAGATGTGCCATAAGTAAACCCATTATTGTCCAGTTACATAAAATTACTTGGGTTGTTGTAGATTTCAATGATTATAGATTTAAAGTTTCAGTTACTCTGAGAAAATGTTTTTCTCTCAAGTATTTAGTGGTTTAAATTAACAGTAGATCTGTTTAACTTAGGTGTTTTCAGTATAAATAGATCTGTTATAACTGTGAGGAACTTGGAAAGGAAGGACTATGTACATAAATGTTTGAAATTAGATATTCCAAGGAGGGGACACTGGTGTCTTCCCTGAGGGAGAGGCTCACAGAATACTCTGTCTATTGTAGTGATGAGTCTTGGGTAAGCAGGGATGTAGGACAATGATCACAAACATCTTACGGTATATCTTAAAAGTGTTTGTGACTTAGTGACAAATACTACAAATTTCTTAACTTCTCACTTAAGCATATGAAGTACGAAGACAAGGTTTGTATAATCCTAAATATTCCTGATATTTTATTTCCCACTGCTGTTGTATCAGTTTGGACACATAACCACACTCCATTGGCTGTAAATTCTTTTGAAGTCTGCCTGTCTTGCTTCTGCAGAATAGCTGATGGTTTCACACTACCTTCCTTCAGTTAGCAGTCCAAACAGGTTCCTTGCAGTTTTATTAGAAAGACTTAATAATATTATCATTGGGAATATCCTTGGACATTTAATAAAATAGAAAAGGTTTGAGAAATATGTTAGTATTTAAGATAAAAAGAGCAGTTTTCCCCCTCCCCCAGGGCGACAGTGTGTTGAAGCTCAACATCAAAAAACAAAACTTCTTACCACTGGGCTGATAGATGGTGAAGCGATCAAGATTGTTAACAACTTTAGTTTGCTTGACTCCACAATCAGCACTCTTCGTAACAGCAGCTAGGAAATCAAAAGACAAATTGCTTTGGGAAAGTTGGCTGTCAGGGACTTCTCCAGAGTGCTGAAGAACAATGTTGTCAATCTGGAGACTAAGGTGTGCATAATCCAGATCATCGTCTTCACAATTTCTTGCTATTTGTCAGAAAGCTGGACAATGACTAGGGATGATAGAGAATTGATGACTTTGAGCTGTGGTGCTGGAGATGAGTATTGAATATACTATGGACAATGATGTTCGTCCTGGAGAGGGTGAAACCAGGCTGCTCCCTGGAGACAAGGACTCCGCAGCTTCATCTGACATACTTTGGGCTTGTTGCAAGGAAGGACCAGTCCTTGGAGAGGGACATCATGCTTGTGAGGGTGGAGGGACAGTACAAGAGAGGAAGACCCTCGCTTTCGATGAGATGGATTGACTCAGTTACTGGGGTAGGTGTGTCAGAAACAGTCAGATTGGAATAGGATAGAGCAGATTTTAGGGCTATTGAATAAGAGTCACTATGAGTTGCAAGCCTAACAACAACAATGTTAAAAGTCAATGTGCTATAATACAATCTTTGCATTGTATATAGCAGATGTTTTTATAGCAATTTTTGTTAAATTGATCTCTGTATGGAGATTATGGTCTGTATGACTGTGTATGATCTAACCTCTGCCAACCTATTTGAACTCAATGCCTATCACTTTTCCTGTTGGTCCTTCTTTTCCTATTCCCATGGCCTTCTTGGTTTTTGGAATGGGTGTTTAATTTGTTTTCATTCTTCTGCTTGCCTTTTATTTACCTTTCCTTCTGCATAGAAATACTCTTTCTGCAGCCATCTGCTGCTCATTCTTTGCTTTCATTAAAAACGGTTTCTCACTGGAAAGTCATTGCCCAACTACCCCATCTAGCACAGTCTTTCTCCATTTAACCACTCTTTTCCTTATTCTGCTTTAGTTTTCTCCTTCATCCTTACCTTTATCTAAAGCTAGATTCTATGCTTACTTGTTTCTTTTAATTGTCTTAAGGCGAGAGGCCTTAAAAACTTTCCATTAAAAAGTCTTCATTGCTTTATGCAGTGCCTGGTACATGGGAGACATTCAATAAGTATTTGTTGAGTGAATGAGTGAGTGTCCAAAGGTATCTTGAAAATATGAGCCTGCTTGTGTTTTATTCTTTTTTTTTTCTTTAATAAAAGTTTGTCGTTTCCCACCTCAGAACTGTAAAGGTAAAATAATAGTTCTTATTGGTGGCGATTTGGGTACTAAACACTCATGTCTTTCTTTCTTTTTTAGTTATTTTAACTTTATTTTAAACACTCATTTCTTCTCTTCATATCTCCTGAATTTTAATTCAGTATAAACAAATACAAATGATAGTTCAATGAGAATTGGTATATATGCTTTCTTAAACTAGACACGTTATGATGAAGGAGTTTTGGCGATCCAAGCAACTTGGATTCAAGTCTGATGGGGCTAACGGCTTACTTAATTGTACTCTTCTTCCCAGCTAAGTGTGAGGTGAGGTAGATGTAACCAAGCAGGCTGATGGTAATAAGATAGGAAATACAGCTCACCGTCTTGCTCACACTTTGTGTGAAGGTCATGAAAAGACAAACTCAAAACTGTTTCATACATCTACTAGTAAAATGTGTGGCCCTGTGGTATACCATTCCCAGTGAGAAATGAGCAAATTCTCCTCCTTATGCAGGAGTAATTCACCAACAGATGGAAAGAGAAATGAAAATAATTGACATCACCATCCGCTTTCTTCCCTCTCATTTGAGAGAGAGGAAAAAAAATGCTAACCCCCCCTTTTTTTTAGGAAAAGGAGAGATGGTTTTAAATTATGGTTATCCTCTGAATGATTGTGACTGGAAGACATATGCATACAAAAAGAAATACTTTTGACCAGAAAAGAGCTGTTAGCACAGGTGTTTCTGAATGTGTCAACCAGACATCTGCCAAAGGAAATAGTAGGCTTCGTTTATGTTTAAGGGAAGAATACATGTTACTCCAACCTCTAGTTAGCACCTGTCATAAAAAAAAAGTATATACTTAGGAAAAAAATTTATTCTATCCTTGATACTTTTGGTCTGATAAATACTGATACTGAGTGTGAACCTGGAAGTCTTTTATGTTTCAGGTTCGTGGAAGTAAGGGAGAAGTTCTGTACATTTTGGATGCTACCAACCCACGACACTCCAACTGGCTTCGCTTTGTTCATGAGGCACCATCTCAGGAGCAGAAGAACTTGGCTGCGATTCAAGTGAGCTTACTTGCTTCTTATTTGTATTATATACTCTGAGGGGGAGTGACTTAATTTATAAATGTACCCTCTGTTTTAAATTCATTTCCCAGTGACCTACTTCAAATAACAGTAACTGCCTCATAAAAGCAGAAAAATCTCATAAAGTCAGCATATGCTGTAATGGGTAAGCCTAACTGCAAGTTGACACAAGCTCACTCCCTTTGTGAGAACTATTGAGGGAATAAATGATATGGTTTGATAAGATCCTTGACAAATCTTACTTTAAAACATTTTTAATTGATTCAGAAAATGTATGTTGATGTGTATTTCTTTCATGGTCTTTATGTGGTTGACTGCAAAAGGCTTCATGGAATTATTTAAGTATATATACTCATGACTAGAGTTTGTACTTCTTAACATTTAGAACCATGTTAGATTGAATTCACTATCCCTGTATCCTTGTATGGAATCCCTGGACTGGTACAGGTGATGAAGCATTTTACTCCTAGTCAGAAGGTTAGAGGTCCAACTCCTTTAAAGTTGCCTCAGAAGAAAGGCTTGACAATTACGTCTTAAAGATTATTTGTTGTTGTTGTTATGTGCCTTCGAGTTGCTTGTGACTCATAGTGACTCTATATACAACAGATCTAAACTCTTCTCTGCCCTGTGCCAATCTCATTGTCTCCGACAAACTTATCCCGATTGCCCCGGTCACCAAATCAATCCGTCTCCCAGAGGGCCTCCCACTTCTGCGCCTGCCCTACACAGCATAATGTCCTTCTCCAAGGACCAGTCCCTCCTTACAACATGACCAAAGTATGTTAGACGAAGCCTCAGAATCCTTGCCTCCAAGGATAAGCCCGGTTTAACCCTCTCCAGGATGAATCTGTTTGTTTTCTTAGCAGTCCATTGCACCCTCAGCACTCTTCTCCAACACCAAAGCTCAAAAGCATGAATTCTTCTATCCTCCCTGGTCATTGTCCAACTCTCTGATGCATAACAAGTGATTGTGAAGACCATGGCCTGTACCAGACGCACCTTAGTCTCCAGAGACACAACGTTGCTCTTGAGTACTTTAGAGAGGTCCCTACAGCAGACTTTCCCATCCCAATATGTCTTTTAATTTCCTGGCTGCTTGTGCCAGAGTGTTGATTGTGGAGCCAAGCAGACTAAAGCTGTGAACAATCTCGATCGATTCACCATCCATCCTGATGCTGCCAATTGGTCCAGTGGTGAGAATCTTTGTCTTCTTGCCATTGAGTCTCAATCCATATTGAAGGCTGCAGTCCCTGACCCTCAGCAGCAAGCGCTTCAGGTCCTCCTCAGTTTGAGTAAGCAGGGTTGTGTCATGCACATAACACAGATTGTTGATAGATCTTCCACCAATCCTGACACCACATTTCTCCTCATAGAGCCCAGCCTCCCGGATGATCTGTTCTGCATACAGGTTGAAAAGGTATGGAGACAGGACACATCCCTGGCGTACGCCCTTCCCAATTTTGAACCATGCAGTGTTTCCTTGCTCTGTTCTGACGACTGCCTCTTGGTTCATGTATACTTTTCACATTAGCATGATCAAGTATCCTGGGATTCCCATTCTTTTCAGAGTCAGCCACAGTTTGTTATGGTCCATACGGTCAAACACCTTTGCATAATCAAAGAAGCACAGATAGACATTGCTCTGGTACTCCCTGCTTTCAGCTAAGATCCATCTAACATTAGCTACAATATCCCTAGTACCATGACACCTTCTAAACCCAGCCTGGACTTCTGGCAGTTCTCTGCTAATGTGCTGTTCCAGTTGTTTTTGGATAGTTTTCAGCAGAATCTTGCTCGCATGTGAAATCAACGATATTGTTCTATAGTTTCCACACTCTGTTGGATCACCTTTCTTTGGAATGGGAACAAATATAGATCTTTTTCAGTCAGTTGGCCAAGTGGTTGTTTTCCAGAGGAACAGTTGTAAGCAGACACTAGTGATTGTAACATGGAATATGAGAACCATGAATGTAGGAAAATTAGTTCTTGTTAAGGAGGAAATGGAATGCATAAATATTGACATACTAGGCATTGGTGAGATGAGATGGACCGGCATGGGACATTTTGAATCAGATGATCATATGATATACTGCTCCGGAGATGAAAAGGTGAGGAAAAATGGGGTTGCTTTCATAGTTAGAAAAGCCATTTCTAGATTGTTCTTGAAGTACAATATTGTGAGTGACAGGATAATATCCATACACATACAAGGAAGTCCAGTGAATACCACTATCATTCAGATATATGCACCAACAACCAGAGCCAAAGAAGAGAGAATAGAAGATTTATACCAACTTTTACAGTCAGAGAGCGATTGAACATGCAATCAAAATGCATTGATAATAATGGGTGACTGGAATGCAAAAGTTGGGAACAGAGAAGAAGAATCAGCAGTCGGAGAACATGGTCTCAAAGACAGAAATGGAGCTGAGATAGGATGATTGAATCTTGCACAATCAATGAGTTATTAGTCATAAACACATTTTTAAGAGACATAAACGCAGGTTATACACATGGATCTGACCTGATGGTATGCATAGGAATCAGATCTATTACATCTGTGGAAGGAACCACTGGAGAAGCTCAATATCAGCTGTGAAAGCTAGGCCTGGAGATGATTGTGGAACAGTCCACCAACTACTCATATGCAAGTTCAAACTGAAGCTAAGGAAAAGTAAACTTAATCCACGAGAACCAAAATATAACTTTGAGTCTATCCCACCTGAATTTCAGAACTATGTCAGGAACAGGTTTGAGGC